CCCCTCTGTCAGGCCTCCTGAGTTGGGGCCCCCACTCGGGGGTGGGTGCCTCCGCCCGCGTCTGCCCGAGGCGGTGGCCCCCACGTCCTGCGTGGGGCTTGGAGAGGACGAGGGCGGAAGACGCATCCTGTCTGGCTGCTCTGATGCCGAACCTCGAGGTCCACTGCGTGGAGAACGAGGCGGCCGCCTTCGAGGCCTCGCCGAAGGCAAGGAACAGGAGGAGCCCGCGACGGTGAGACCACTAGGGCGTCAGCTTGGAGACTGGGTCAGGGGAGCAGGGCGGGGCCGCGCGAGTCCACGGAGGTGAAGCTACCAGGAGTTCGGCTTCGAGACCTCGCCGAAGTGGCAGGGCGAGCCCACGAGGTGCATCGCGAGGAGGGCGGCATTGAGACCGCGCTGACCTCGGTTGTGGAGACGATAGGGGACTCCAAGCTGCAGGGTCACCAAGGGGATCTCGGGCGAGGCGCCCCGACCACCCCACCAGCACGTCCAGCGACGTGGCGAGAATGATGTTTTGCGTTTTTTTTGGGGGGGGGGGGGGGGCATGGTGTAATTAGCGATGGCGCACACGGGGGGCGAGGAAGAGGGGCCAGGAGGAGGAGGAGGAGGAGGAGGAGGAGGAGGAGGAGGAGGAGGAGGAGGAGGAGGAGGAGGAGGAGGTGGGGGATAATGAGGTTCGATGCCCATAAAGGGCCAATGGGAGAGAGAGAGAGAGTCCCTGTTTGCGAAACCACCACTGAGTTACGGTACGCTGGCCAACTTGAGCCTTCCGTCTGGAGGGCGGTGCCACGACCTGGACTGTGAGCACACCTTGGGTCCAGGCCGTATCGAAATGGCCTGAGATCAAACAGCAACGGGAGAGAGACCGATGAAATAATATGCAAGCACACCTGGTTGAGGATGGGGAACGAGATGGAGGATGAATCAACTCTCAGGATGGGAGAGAGAGAGAGAGAGAGAGGCCCAAACACGCGGCCGTAGGGCGGGGCCGCTGGTCCTCGTCTTGGAACCCAGGTCGATGGATCGACCCCCAGCGGGTCAGCACGCACTCTCATAGAGGGTGGAGAGGATGAGGAGGAGTGGACATGAGGTGGGGGGAATGAGGGAGAGAGAGAGAGAGAGAGAGAGAGGGCCCAAAAGGCTCTCCGCGACACTACCAGGCGGTGTTGCACCCACGGGAGCAAGGGCGACCACCCCATGGGGGTAGTGGCTGTCAGTTGGCACTGCATGGAGGACGGGAGGCAGGTGAGCACGACCTAGGCACGGGAGCACAGGGGAGGGACACGGGATGTGGTGAGCACGTCTGGTCGGCCTCTCAGCACAGACTGCTCACACCCTGGCCGCACAAAGATCGTACCTGCTAGGGGGGTGGTTGAAGGGAAAAGGGGGCAGAGGATCGTAATTGAGTTGAAGGAGGAGTTGGATGGAGGGGAAACCAGAATTCAGCTATGGACCTCATGGTAAATCTGGAGGTCATCAGGAGCTTCACAGATTGAAATCCTCCTTCGTCCATTCCTAGACACTCTGCCAATCGGGAGACAAGTAGAGGAAGGTAGGCCAGTGAGCCGACCAGCAACGACTGGGATGGCAGCACCTACCATTCCTGTGATCATCGTCTTCACCACGGCCTGTTCCTCCCCGTTCGCAAATGTGAAGGGAAGCTGCATGGAATTAGATATCTCCTGAAGAAACCACGTCTCCCGAGTGTGGGTCCAGTGGTGCGTCACATAGGCCTTCATGACCTTCAAGAGGCCCCACTCATCCACAGGGAAGACAAGCCAAACCAAGAGTGCTGAAACTACTCCTGCTAGATAGCCCATCACACTGTACTGAAACGAAACCATCTCAATAGACGACGATACCATAGAGGTCGAGCGCTTGGAGGTAGAACTCGGAGTCACGATCTTCTCAGCTTCACTCTCTGATGAGGACTCGGAGGCGAGGTCGGTTCAGAGAGCACTACCGTTCACGATATTCAGCACCGTCGCCACCGCCTTGGCCTTCTGCTTCGGCACGGCCTTCCGAGGGCAGTGGGCTGCGATGCACTTGTTCACGTTGCAAGCGATGCCTTTGTCGCCGCGCATCGCCTTCTCGAGGATCTGGGAGGCCTCCCCCCACGCCACCTTCTTCGGCAGCACCTTCTTCGTACCCAGCAGCGGCTGTAGCCACCCGTGTTCTGCTCGACGTAGGACTGTGTCCGACGAGGGAGCCTCCGCCACGGGTGTCGGTGAGGTGTCACGAGGCTCCGGTGTCGAAGCGGACAGTTTAGCTTTCAGATTTTTGTCACCCTCCAAGAGCTTCGCCATCTTGTCTCCAAACGAACTCTTCATCGCCATGGCCAAGTATTCGCCCTGCTTGCGCAAGCGAAGCTCCTCAGCCCGATCCTTCTTCTCCTTGACGAAAGCCTGGTACTCTGGATCTGCTTTGGCAAAGTTCTCCCTCATCTTGATGATGTCCCTGGGGGACACCTTGTCGACTTAGCGAGACCTTGGACGCCTCTCATCGCGGTCATGGGGGCGATCATGGTAGCGATCACTTTCCTCACGTCCACGTTCACGGTCATCACGCGATGAGCCTCCACGATCGCGGTCACTGCGGCCCCCACGATCTCCCCCACGACCAGGACTGCTGCGCCGATCTCTGCTGTCCCCTCGGCGGTCTCGGTCATCACGTCGGTCACGATCACGATCCCCATCGCGTTCATCCCGTCGTCCGTGCGATTCGTACCACCCGTCGTAGGAACGCCACCGTTCATCACCCTCTCCCCCACGGTAGTGCCAAGACGGGCGGCGTCCTTCTCCACCCATGGTGGATGTCGTCTCGTATGAAGAACGCCAACGTTGCAGGATCACTCGGGCCTTCTGGATGGCAACGGACAAGGGACAGGCATGGGCTGCGGCACAGATCACATCGGAGGGGTAGCCCACGAGGTAGAGCTCAAAGGCCAGCTCGAGGATCCAGGCCACCACCACGGGAACCGATAATTCCAGGAACTGAGCCCGAACCTGACGTCCCGAGAATAGTGCGACGATCATGTTAAATCCTCTGGGGGGCTTACCAGGCCAGGGAAGGATGTTTGTTTTCGGTCGGGGGCCCTCGGAGGTCTTGTGGAGCCAGATCCTGTTGTCGTTCTTGGGGGCAATCCAGAGAGAGGTCCCATGAGGCCATATTTTTCAATCTCTAACCAAATACACGGGCTTTGTGGGTCTTCCAAAGTACATGCTGGGGATAGTTTTGCGCCATACTTGTTGGTCAAGTATACACACAGACACACACACATCTTACATGATACTTTGCTTATGCCGATGATGTCATCCACATATCTACGTTGCTGTATTTCAATTTTAATTTCACATAATCTTTTTTCAGAACGCCTTGGAGGAAGGTGAGCGTGGATGCATGCACTCCAGGTTACTGGGATGGATACGGCGGGAGATATCTCGAAACTTCCGTGTTCACTGAGGTCGGATCCAGGGAAGATAGTTCAGGGGCTCGTTTCAATTCCGCTCATCCATCTCCTCTCCTATGTAGGTCAGGAACGACTCCGAATCCGACGTCGACTCCAACCCTTGAAAACGTCCTCGAACCTGGACCCAATCCTCTGTCTGTCTCTCCCGACGACGTTTTTCGGTGTGTGCCTGGCGCCAACTCTCTGCGAGGTGCCAGAGCGGGGGGCTGAAGGTGTTGTATGTCCTCGAATTCAATTGCGTCAGACATCACAACCACTGGTGTGCACGAAAAGCAACATACCCACGGATAATCCCAAACAAGACGTCGTCACTGAGGATGTCAAGGATACGGGGTGGCATGGATGAAGAGTGGCACATAGGAGAGGAACGGGAAATGCTTGATACACGTGTCGGACTCAAATATGTAGCGTACACTGTGAAGCGCGCGATCCCTGGCTTCCCGTTGCCTGTGAAGGCCGTGTCAAGTCAGGCTGCGAGAGAGTCCCTGTTTGCGAAACCACCACTGAGTTACGGTACGCTGGCCAACTCGAGCCCCCCGTCTGGAGGGCGGTGCCACGACCTGGACTGTGAGCACACCTTGGGTCCAGGCCGTATCGAAATGGCCTGAGATCAAACAGCAGCGGGATAGAGACCGATGAAAGAGTATGCAAGCACACCTGGTTGAGGATGGGGAACGAGATGGATGATGAATCAACTCTCAGGGTGGGAGAGCGAGAGAGAGAGAGAGACAGTGAGCGAAAATTGGGGTGGGGGTGCCCATCCGAGGAGAGCCTTTATACCCCGCCCGAAGCTGCCATCCACCTCGGGCGGGGCCAGAAGAATAACAAGAGGATAAAGAGGAGGAGGAAGAGGATGATGATGATGATGATGCTGCTGCTGATGATGATGATGATGATGATGATGAGGAGGAGGAGGAGGAGGAGGAGGAGGAGAAGGAGGAGGAACGGAGGAGGAGGATGAGGAGGAGGAGGAGGAGGAGGAGGAGGAGGAGGAAAGGAGAAGGAGGAGGAGGAGGAGGAGGAGGAGGAGGAGGAGGAGGAGGAGGAGGGGGAAACGATGTGGATGGGTGAGAGGAGGACGAGGCCATCGATGCAGGAAGGAGCGGGGGGGGGGAGCCAGGGGCAGCCAGGAGTGGGAGCGCCCCTCGCAGCGCCAGCTTCGACACGCTCGATCCCAGTCGATGTCAAATTCTGGCCGGCCCGGTCCGATTCCGATGCTCCGACGATCCGACGCGGCCCGATCCGACGCTCATTCTCGATGTCTGTTCATGGGAGCCTTTGAGCGACGACATTGAAATCAGCTGTTCCTGAATTTCGGCCGCCTCCTGCTCCTCCTCGCCCCTCCTGTTCCTCCCCCCCCTCCCCGTTCTTCTCGCCACCTTCTGTGAAGGACAGAATCCGGTCCATATCTGGTCCCAAAAGTGTTACACATCTGGCCCAAAAGCAGGCCCGAATCGGACAGCGCCAGGGGCCTCGTGGGCTCCCATGGCACAGGCACCGAGCGCACACACACTCCGATCCGATCCGATTTCCCGCTCCGATGCGCTGACTGGTCCTGCGGTGTCGGGGGTCGGGGCCGGCGGCGTCCGAGGGCATCTGGGCCCTCTTCCTCGTCCTCCTCACTCCCGTCGAGGCCCGCGTGATCCTCCCCGTGCCCCGTCCATCCTGAGGGTGCTCGCTCATTCCCCCCCGCACCGCCCGAGGCGGAGAGCCCGACTTTGCACCAGCAGGTGCGAGAGCGTGGGCTACTGTGTATGGACGGCAGGGCCGGCAGCGGTGGCGGCGCCGTCGTCTGTCGGAGGGGCTCGATGTATGCACCACGTCGTTTGGTCGGCCAAGGGGCGAAGGAGACCGGCGAAGGAATTCGGTGCATAGGCGTTCCGGCGCCCCACAGGTTGGGCAGCTGGGGTTTCTGCACGCCGAGCGCCTCTGCCGGCCGAACGACGTCGCAAGGTGCGCACTGAACAGCCTTACATTGGCCCTGGATCCTCGATCCTCGAGGGCGTTCGCAAGAGATCCCTGCTGCCGTCGGCCAGGTCCCCGCCTGCTCCCTGTACGACTCGGCCCTGTTTGCGGCCTTTGACGCGACGAGCTTCGAGCAGGAGCGCCGCGGGGCCACAGGGCGACGAGCTGTGGCGCAGGGGGCCCGAGGCGAAGGAGCAAGGTGTCGAGGAGGGTGGGGTGGACGGTGCGGGGCGGGAGAGACGAGGAGCAGGAGGAGGTGGAGGAGGCGGAGGAGGCGGACGAGGAGGAGGAGGAGGCGGAGGAGGAGGAGGAGGACGAGGAGGAGGAGGAGGCGAAGGAGGCGGAGGAGGAGGAGGCGGAGGAGGCGGATGAGGCGGAGGAGGCGGAGGAGGAGAGGAGGAGGCGGAGGAGGAATAGGAGGAGGAGGATGAGGAGGAGCAGGAGGAGGAGGAGGAGGAGGAGGAGGAGGAGGAGCGAAGAAAAGCCATTAGCATAAACATAAGCTTTCGAAGCTCCGCGTGGATTCCCTGAATCGGCGCTTGGCCTTCCTGGCGACGCCTCTGGGGCCGGTCCAAGAATCCGCGCAGATCTCCGAAAGTGTATGTTAATGCTTTTGTTCGTTCCTCTAGAGAAGGAGGAGGACGAACATGAGGAGGCGGATGCAGAGGACGGGAAGAGGAGGACGGAGGGAATGTGGTTGTGATGATGATGATGATGATGATGATGATGATGATGATGATGATGATGATGATGATGATGATGATGATGATGCCGATGTAGACGGTGGTGATGGTGGCACGTAAGATCAGTATGTAACATGACGAGGTTGATGATGATGATGATGACGCTGATTATGATGACGCTGATTATGATGATGATGATGATGATGATGATGATGATGATGATGATGATGATGATGATGATGATGATGATGATGATGATGATGATGATGATGATGATGATGATGATGATGATGATGATGATGCTGATGATGATGATGATGATGATGATGATGATGATGCTGATGATGATGATGATGATGATGATGATGATGATGATGATGATGATGATGACGAGTAGGACGGAGGCGGCGGCGGCGACGACGTGATCTGCATGGGAGGATCAAGACAGGTGGGCGGTGGAAGGGGGGAAGACGGATGAGGATGGCAGGAAGTGGAGGAACGAACGCAACGGTTTGTGCTGTCCGATGACGGCTCCACTTTGAACATGGGGAAGGAGCCGATGACGAGGAGGAGGCTGTGGCTCTTACTGTAGCCATCTTGGCTGGAACTGATTTTGCGGTGACGCCAGCCTGCGCCCAGCCTCAGCCAGGTGGAGACTTTTTGTGTCGCATCCAATGGAGGCGCGATCGATGGCCAACAGGGGCCTGCGCGAGAACTCCACTGCACCACTGCGACCACAGATGGACCCGTGCAACGAGTGCTCTTGATGGCGAACGACGAGGGGGAGGCAGTCAGAACCATGGTGGTGGTCGCGTTGAATTTACTGGACACGTTCTAAGGCACTGTCAGGCACATCCAGGATGACGCCCAACAATGTCGAAACGCCCAGGCTGTTCGAGGCCTGACCTGCAACGTGCTCTATTCGGTTCGTAGGGCCGTCGCCAAGCATGAGGTCCGCAGTTCAGCCACGGGACTGCGACCCAGCGTTCGAAACCTGGAGGGAGAGACGAAGTGAGGTGTACGGCTGTTCTGCCTCTGGCTTCGAGCCTTTTTCAGTTGTACCTCGCAGAGAAGGCGGCGTCGGCCCAGTGAAAGGGGGGCCTCGAAGAGCCCGGGGAACTGACGCGCGGATGCCCGAACCATGCCCATGCCGTCCCGGTCACGCACGCCCTCCAGCAGAACACCCAGATCATCTCCACGCATAGCATGGGCCCATGGACGCGAAACCCGCCCGACGCACAGCTGGTCGGGGAGCCATACACTCGTGCCGCTGCCTCGCCATCCTGGCCCGCTCTGTGCGCGACGCAGCTGGGTGCCGCGTGCCGCTGGAGGCGGTGTCTCGAGGCGGCCGTGGCGCCAGGTGGAGCTCGGCCTCCTCGTCCTCCCGCCCGGGTCGTCTGCAACGAACGTCCTCCGCGCCCCTGCCTCGTCCCTGGGCGCTGCCTGCGCGTGCGCTCTCGTCGCGCCCCCCCGAAGCTGCCCGGGGGAGCGGCAGATCGCTGGTTCGCACCTCGCCCCGCGCGGCCTCCGCGGGGAGGTGATGCGACGCCCTCCCGACACGCTCATCGTGTGATACTCTGGCACGGCCGTGGTCGTGTGGTGCCTTGGCATGCTAGAGTTTTTTACCTAACAGCGAAGACTGATAGGTTTCTAGTCGGCTCAAAAGAGAGCATCATGACGCCCCAGGGGGTCTGGGCAGATGCCGGACGGGTGCCGGGGAGAATCCGCGGAAGTCGTTTTAAGCAAACAGTTACACACTTCGTGGTCTTCGAGGTCCCAGAACTCAATTCCTGGGCATGATTTTGAATGCCCGGAGCCGACTGTAGGCCACTTCGTGGTCTTCGAATTCCCAGAACACCATTCCCGGGCCACATTTTGAATGCCCGGAGCCAACTGTAGGCCACTTCGTGTTCTTCGTGTTCCCAGCACACCATTCCCAGACCACATTTTGAATGCCCGGAGCCAACTGTAGGCCACTTCGTGTTCTTCGTGTTCCCAGAACACCATTCCCAGGCTACATTTTGATTGCCCCGAGCCAATTGTGAGGCTGAGGCTGAGGCAGGCTGAGGCTGAGGCAGGCTGAGACTGAGCCTGAGGCAGGCTGAGGCTGAGGCTGAGGCTGATGCAGGCTGAGGCTGAGAGGCTGAGGCTGAGGCTGAGGCAGGCTGAGGCTGAGGCTGAGGCCGAGGCAGGCTGAGGCTGAGGCTGAGGCAAGCCGAGGCAGGCTGAGGCTGAGGCTGAAGCTGAGGCAGGCTGAGGCTGAGGCTGAGGCTGAGGCTGAGGCTGAGGCAAGCTGCGGCTGAGGCAGGCTGAGGCTGAGGCTGATGCAGGCTGAGGCTGAGGCAGGTTGAGGCTGAGGCAGGCTGAGGCTGAGGAGAGGCTGAGGCTGAGGCTGAGCTGAGGCTGAGGCTGAGCTGAGGCAGAGGCTGAGGCAAGTTGCGGCTGAGGCTGAGGCTGAGGCTGAGGCAGGCTGAGGCTGAGGCTGATGCAGGCTGAGGCTGAGAGGCTGACGCTGAGGCTGAGGCAGGCTGAGGCAGGATGAGGCTGAGGCTGAGGCCGAGGCAGGCTGAGGCTGAGGCTGATGCAAGCCGAGGCAGGCTGAGGCTGAGGCTGAGGCTGTGGCTGAGGCTGAGGCAAGCTGCGGCTGAGGCAGGCTGAGGCTGAGGCTGATGCAGGCTGAGGCTGAGGCAGGCTGAGGCAGAGGCTGAGGCAGGCTGAGGCTGAGGCTGAGGCCGAGGCAGGCTGAGGCTGAGGCCGAGGCAAGCCCAGGCAGGCTGAGGCTGCGACTGCGAGAACAGCAGAATTCTACAACTGGATTCTCACCTAAATCTTAAGGGAAATGCTTCCAGATATGCTTCTACACATCGCTGTTAGGTTGCTTTGCCGGGATAATTTTTTTCAGTGTGGGCGTGTGTCGTCTCACTGCTTCGTCTACTTGCAGTACCCGCACTGGGCCCCGCCTGCGCCCGTGGGTGCCCCGGCGCCGCGGCCCGGCAGCTGCCATGGTCCCCGCTGGCGGGGCCGGCCGCGCTAGCGTACTCAGGTGCAGACCCGCTGGTGCAGCCAACTCTGTCTCGCCGCCGACGGAAAAAGTGCGTGCCGCTTCCTCAGATATCAGCACCCAGAATTACTTGGTTGACTGCACTCAGTGGGCAGGCCCGATCTCCACCCGACCACGGCCTGCTCCGCGCGCCTGCGGCTCGCACACCAGCTGGGGCCTCGACGCGGCGCGCTGCTCCCCCCGAGGTGCGGCGGCGCCCCCCTCGCCGCGCGGCCTCCTCCTGGGCGCCCTCGCCGCGCGGCCCCCCCCCCTCTGGTTGACGCAAACAGGGGTCCAACTACAGGGGGGGTCAATAGACTTGATGCAATAGATTCTTGGAGTTGCAACAGGTGTGGGGCCTGCAGTACACTCCCGTGCGCAAATGCACTGCTGGATCATGCCGCGTGCACCTGCGCGCCTCGCAGTGCAGTGCAGATGCAGATCTCCAGCGCAACACGTTTGTCCACCAAGCCCCCCGGCAGCGGTCGGCGGCGGCCGGCGGAGCCCCGCGTCGGCGCGCCGCCAGGGCCCCCCGCCGACGCGCGGCGCGGCTCGCTGCCCGCGCGAGGCTCACGCCCGCGCGCCCAGTCGTGCCGCGAGGCGCCCCCCCCGTCGCCGAGCGAGGTCGCAGGTCGCGCCGCCGGGCCTCGGCGGTGCGGCGCAGCTGCGTCGCCCGCGGAGGGGGCCACCGTCCCTGCGCGCAGGGCCCACTGGCGCAGCGTGGCGCCGCCGCCCGTCGCGGGGGCGCGCGCGAGGCATGCTTGTTTGGGCTCGGGATCCGAGCAGCGCGAGTGCGCAGCATCCCGCCCCGTGCAGAGCTGATGAAGAGGGGGTCTCCCCTTCCCTTCCTCGTCCTCCTCGTCCGCCTCTTCCTCCTCCTCCTCCTCCTCGTTTTCCTCCCCTTCTCCCCCGATCATCCCTCGGTGCCGCTTCCGCTGATGGTGATATCGCGTGCTCGGTTCCCGAACCGCCATTCTCGCTTTCTCTTGCTCCGTCTGTCACGCAGGGTATCCAAACCAAGTGCACAGGAGAGAGTCAGGACGCTTTGCTGCGTTCGTTCTGCCATCTTCCCATGTCGTCAATAGTGATGCGCGGCGCGCGCCAGGATGATGCGGAGTGGGCGAACAGGCATCTTCGGGTCGACGATTCGATTTTCTGCGCAGCGCTCCCTCGTTGTTCTCCCTCCTTCATCTTCCTTCACTGATTTGGCTGTCCCATTCCCTTCACTGAGCCTTGTCGGCCTGCTGTGGTGCCTCTGGGACGTCAGTTCTGTCTGATTCTCATGTCGTACCCCTCCTCCGTCCTCGCCGTCCCTCCGTTTTCCCTTTAGCCCCATAGCCCCACAAGAACCAGAATTACACCTCGAATGTGCGCAACGCCGACCCCGGACTGGCCGGCACCCAGGGAAGTCATCTGAAACGATTGTCTGTTCCG